CATTTGGAAACATTAGTCTGCATCGACCACATTGAACACTAGAATTTCGTGATCATCAGGAGTGGTTATTTGCCGTAAAGGACGCAGTCATCCGCAAATAATTGAATGGATGATGATATTCCTTAATGTAGATCGTTCACATATATAAGGAAGCATAAGGGGCCAAGCACTGAGCCCTGAGGGACAACGGACTTGACTAGAGCAGCAGTAGAGTGAAGACTGGCAATGTGAGTGAGCTGAAATCGATGTGGTAGGGAAGCATCAGATTCACGACAAGGTGAAAGGATCCAAGTTCAGACAATAGAGTTTATTTATTAGTCGTTGATGAGTGGCATGATCGAAGGCTTTAGAGAAGTCAATGTATACGACGTCAGTGTGAAATAGAGAATCTATGTTATATTGGAAGTCTGTAGTGAATTCGAAAAGCTGAGTTTTGCAGGACAAGCCAGGTCGGAAGTCGTGCTGATTCTTGAAGAACCCATTATTATCGAGGTGGTGGGCAACATGCAAATAAAAAAATAATCTGCTCGAGGATTTTTCAGACAATGCATGTCAGTGAAATACGACCATATTTAGATGGGTGAGAACGGTCACCTGATTTAAGTGTAAAGATCTTATAGTTATTAGGGTAATGACATTTTATGCATATTTAATCTCATTAATACAGCAGCTTGTCAGTTCTACATAGAAGCTACTGTAGTTTTAATAAACCTTACTAACTTCACTATGAGGCAGTTTGTATAGTCAATTGTTTGTTTTACAGAGCAGATGCTATTCTGTGTTCATTTGAATGTTTTCTTTCTCTGCATAGCTTGTTCATCGTCAGCCATAAAAACCTTTTCTCCATAGCAGTATTTTTTCCTGCTTTCGTTACCCCGTGTTTTAAGAAATAGATGTAGAGAATACTACCTATCGCTGTTTTTTCATTATTTATTTCTGTCATTGCAATGTGAGTATAACTCATTGTTAATAAATGCATAACAAGCACTAAATGCATAGTTTATGCACATACCATTTGTTGGAAGAAGAGTTAAACGCCAACTCTGGTCATTTTTTTTATATGTCAACTGATCACGTCCTAAGTGTGTTAATCTTGCTAATTAAAACTTGAAGAAACCAAGAGAAATTCGTGACTTGTGTAGAAAGGCACAATGTTTTAACCTAACTAGCATGGATATCACATGCCTTTTCGGCAAATCATGTTAGTTTCAAAAGCCCATTCCTGAAGTTGTTTCTTCAGGAATGCGACTCCGCAATCTTTCATGCGGAGTCTCATTTGGTATTCCATACCCATAGTCAAAGTAATACATCTGGCAAGATTCTTTTTTATCAGACAAAAATTTAACTTTGGTGAGTGAGTTAAGGATGAAATATGGGTATTATAAACTTGGTGATTCTAAGCAGTGCTTCAGGAACAAATTGCCACATTTCTTTCTAGTTCCTTCTACAAAATAATTCACCGCAAATCGGAAGAGATTAGAACTACTCACTTGTGTTTGAGAGTCCTTGATGTTAGTGATGTGGTCTGACGGTGTGGGTTCAGGCTTACTAAAGAATTGCATCAGTAAAATGTAATGCAGTAAAAAAACATTTAATTTTGAACTGGAGTGGGACTATAAAACTTTTCGAATCAAGCAAAGTTTAAACTAGCGGGCAGGCGCTAGAATGTGCAGACATTGCACCACACTACGCAGGAAGAAACAAATGACACCACCACTGGACTTGTTATCGAGATAAAATGAATAAATACTACACTTTTTGGCAGGTAATTTCATTGATAAAGTGCATGGAGCTTTTAACTACAAACAGAATAGATTCATCTGTCAACGAACTGAAAGAAACATCGGCATGCATTCATGTCAGCATTCAATCTTAATGTCAAAATATATGACTCTATATGTGCTTTGAAACACGTTTATTTAGACTACATGGTAGGGCTAATGCAATCAAAATAAATGTAATAGGAGTCTTCTTTGCGTGTTCTCTGGACTAGAAGTAGGTATAATTCAACAACCATCAGTAATTTTTATTTGCTTGCATTTCTTTTGTTGTATTGAGCATCGTTTGTAGCTAGCTCAAGAGCTCCAGTGCAGCATACGAAGTCTCATCTGCTTAGAAAGGCTGCTGTTTTGTTGTTTTACATCTCTAGTAAATTTAGTTTGAAGTTTGAACAGGTCTTGCAAAATATTTTGATCACTCTGGGCCAAATTTTGCAAGGAGTGTTGGGCTGAATTTTGCAAGGAGTGATGAAAACTGGGGGCTCCCAGTTGTGATTAACGTAGTGGATACCGATTATCAAGAATTTTCTCCATAAAAATATGCAAGGCTGTGCTGGAACCACGGTATTAGATCAAATTGACGAAATTTTTCTGTACTTTGTACATTTATCGTTGGGTTTTTAGGAGAACGATACATTCGCAGCATGATCGAAGATAATCAAATAGTCGTTGAACTTTCACTTAAACACTCTTAGAAAAAAAGAGGATTAGTCATCTCCTTGTTTAAGCTCTTTCTCACTGAATGGTGTGTGCACAACATGAGTGGCAGCTTTTGATGAGCACATTGAACATTTTCTTATATTACAGTAGCCGCTATGTGGGAAAAGTGTTATGTGTTCCCTACATCCATACTTTATACTTAAGAGTTAAAGAAAACGAATCATATTAGAGCCATTTGTTTCATTTGAAGGGACGCTCCGCCTGAAAACTTTTTAGCAAGTTGTTTGCAGATTTCAATGAAACTCTATCGGTGTTTATATTTGTGTGCCAATTTCAAATACAGCACATTCTTCGTAAATTGAAATCTGTTAAACGAAACTGCTGTTAAATGGAACAACTGCCCGTGACATGATTGGTTTCATCCCTGCATACTGCACCTCAATTCACCTCTAAGTAAATGGAACTCCTGTTAAACAGACAGATTTTCTCGGTCTTTTCAGGTTCCGTTTAATTAGAATCCACTGTATGTGATTCTTTTCAGAGTAGAATATGTAGTTTTTAAATTCGAGGTGGCATTTTGGTGGCTATACTCTGCCTAAATTGAAAGAGCAAGGGTGTAACAACTGTGCCATTTGTCCCATTGTGTTCCAAACTTTCTTACCTCCACCGAACCACCCTTGTTGCGCCAAGGTCATTGCACTAAGCTTACAAGAAAAGTTCACAGTTACTACTCAAGCGACACCTCCACCCCCACTCCCTCGCTTTTGTAATGCTTCCTTAAGAGAAGTGGGGTGTTTCTGCTCTGCTTTGACGGCAGGCCTCCCAATTGCAGGGATGTTATCGCGTTCGCCCTCCAAGCGAAGAGGTAGGCCGGCTCGTTTGATATCTGCTTCAGTCGCGTTCGTCGCCCCAGCTTGAGCGTTTTTACCCTTGGATAGAATTTATGATGTTATGATGTGATCAATTTGGATATTATACTGGACATGACAGTAATGGTGATAGTAAAAACCTTTTGAAAGTGGCCGATATTGCCATGACATATTGGCCGCATTCAAATAGAGCGCCCTTCACTGCGCGCGCAGAGACTGTTGTTGCACGAGCACCTGGCCAGACCCAGCTCTCCGGCCTTCTGCTGAAGAGAAAGAAGAGGTGTTGGGGGAAATTCTTTGAAGTTTGATGGTCTCCCAGTTCTCTACAGTTGCCTTAGCTTGTGGGCACAAGTTCGCCCTAATAAATAGGTTTGTTTTATAAACCTGTGTACTACAGTATCGCTACATTTCTAGTGGAGGTGCGCGTATGAATCGAAGCCCCATGTACGCAAGACAGTGTAGCCCGGACCATCAGCGAGTCGATCCTGTGAAGCTGACACCTTTACACGAAAAGGCCTGCGCGCGTGGCGCATGTGAGCTGGGTCTGGCCAGGTGCTTGTGCCACCACAGTCTCTGCACAGCACGATAAAAGGCGCGGCTAATATATTGCGGTAATATGACTGCTATCACAATGGTGATATTGCACAATTTAGCTTAGTGGTTGAAAAATGCAGCATTGTAGCTTAGTGGTTGAAAAATGCAGCATTGGACAAATGTTGCTTTAAAGGTGCTTTGAAATGACGTTATATCTTTTCTGAATATTCTGACTGCTCCAAATCTGCTCAATAAAGTCTTTCTAGCTGCTCCAAGCCTGCTACAAAAGGCACTTTTGCCTGCTCTCCGGACTGCTCTCAAACTCATGTTATCCTGTTCCATCCCTGAAAGGGTTACAAATCAAATAGGCACATCAGAATGACCTGGAATGAGTGCAAAGTGCGAGAAAAGAAGTATGGATGTTCTAAGCCTATTTTCAACAAATGTATGTTGAATATTTGTGACTGAAATCCCAGCTTGATGTAGACCAATTGGCAAATGTTCAACATACCATAACTTTTGTTTGAATGGGTTTAGAACAGTTTTTCTGGTTTTCTTGCATTCTGTACTCATTCCGGGTTATTTTGATGTGCTTGTTTTTATGTAACTCTCCCAGTGTAGGCAAACTGTAACTCCCAAGAAGCACATGGAATGTTTGGTATTTTAAAAACCATATATTTTACTACAAAAATGACTGAATATTTGAAATCCGTGAACAACTATACATAAGCTCGACAAACACCATCTCAATTTTTGAATTAATAAAATTCAGGACCAATGTCTTCTTTTGAGCAGAAGTTTCGTTTAACGAGGGTGAATTGTATTTGCAAAAAGGCAAGTGTAAGGCCGTCTTCAATTAGCTTACATTAAAATTAAATGCCATGCTTGAACACATATTTTGGATGGGGTCATGCATGTCCCTGATTGATAGGTGTGCTGTTATTCTTGATGTCTTTCTTGCTGCCACAGTGCAACACTTGGCATCTGTGTTGTGTGTTTCTCTTGTGTTCTGTCTGCAGGCTTTATCCTTTATGATGTATCCAACTGACTAGCTGAACTTCGCCATTTATTTCTCTTAGTGCTTACCCTATATTTAGCTGACAATATGTGAGGAAGACATTTTAGCAGTATTCCTGATTTTTGGGTTCTTCTTTTGCAGAAGAAGATAAGCCAACACAGCAAGAACTGCAGCAGCGAATTCTTAGCATGATTGGACAACCAGGGCCTACAAGTCCAACAACCATTGTGAAGCAGGCACCCTTGCCAACACTTGCGCAGCAGCAGCCACAGCAACCTGCACCAGCTACTGCAGGCGATGTTTCCGCTTCCACTTACATTAACTTTGACAACCCGAGCGTGCAGAAGGCTCTTGACAATTTGATACACAATGGTAGCAATCTACTGAAGACCCTGAGCAATGCTAATTCTGGGGCATCGTCCGCACTTGGCAGTCAGCAGCCTACCAAGTCACTGTCAGGCTATGGTTACGGAAACAGTGAAGCTTATGGCGGAAATGCCTCTGAATTAACATGAGCTTTGGTGGTCCTGCGGGGGCAGCAGTATCACAACCAATGCAGAGAGGTACAGGCGCCGCCCCTGCTATGCGGCACCCATTGATGGGAACCCAGGTCGAAAGACCCATTATGTCTGGCAGGTCTGGAAGCGGAAATTCGCGATACTGAAAAAAAGAAAAATTTTTTTTTGTGAAACCAGTTTCAGAAAAAGCAACTGGCATAGCTTTGTTCGTTGGTTGCTGGCATCTTCCCATTTAGCTTTTTGTTTTCACCAGCTTGTGTTTGACACTCTTCTTTTCCTTCTTATCGATCATTTGAAGATCCTCATTGATTTCATGTTACCAAAATGCATTTTACTATTCTTCTAGCACCTACAAGCCATCATTTAAAGCGTTTCATCAGTGTCATCTTATGTAAAACAATCAAATAAAATTAGATTTGGTGCGTGTCATCCAAGTTCACAAATGCAGGAAATCATGGTTTGAGATGAATAAAGAATTGCACAATTATACTCGTTGCTGTTGTGTGAATTTTTACTGTGAAACTGCTGCATCAATGCAATTTTATGGAAGCTGTGACATACATAGTGGTAGTGGCCGGAACCAGCTGCAGCACTTACAACATCCATCTTTCAATAAAAGGTCTCTGTGAATACGTGTCGGAGTTCTTCCCTTTTTATATCCTTTACAGAAAATGACTGAACACCTGCAACAGCGAAAACAACTTCGGGCAGGGTGACACGTTTATTGACACACACTGGTGTTGCCACGACTTCAGGTGAGAGCCACGGACTTGAAGTTCTGCGGTGGCTCCTCTATTTCGTCTTTACTTTGAACAAGGCGCAACTCCAACTCGTGGCTGGTGTACTTGAGTTCCGTCTCTGTGTGCATGTTCTGGGCATGTCTGAAGGTCTTCTTTAGCACTGCTTGTATGGTAGACACAGTCTTCTCGATAGACACACGCAAGTTGTTGTTCGACTTTGTCATCCAGCCCACTAGGATGGCTGCAAACAGGTCGCCTGTTCCGCAGAATTGCGCATCCACGCGCGGCACGTCTACGCGTAGTGACGTCATCCTGTCCCCGGTGCGCTTACTGGCGAATACAACCAGCGTGTTTGCGTTGTTCTCCACCGTAGTCGACGTAATGACGACCGACGTGGCGCCCATTACGTGAAGTGCTTCCATGGCGTCGAGCGCTCCCCCTTCGTCGTGGATCGTCATGCCGGTTAACAGCTCGCTTTCGAATTGATTTGGCGTCACAATGTCGGCCATTGGGAGTAGGTCTTTCTTGTAGATGGGCACCAGTTCGGCAGGGACGTAAAGAAAACCGTGGTCGCCCATTACTGGATCGCAGACGTACACCACTTCGGGATTGGCTTTCTTCATTTCGGCGACGAGGTCGCGCACACGCTCCAGCAGCGCCCCCGACGAAATGTAGCCCGTCATGACATGCGTGTAGACAGACGTGTCGAGAGTACTCAGGATCGCTTCTAAGTCGTCGGTGTCGGTCACCTGACCTTTCCATACCGGGTAACCCGTGTGGTTGGAAAACTGCACCGTATGCACCGTGTCCACGTCGAATCCCAAGATCTGCAGCGGGAAAGCGATGCATTTGTTTCCAACGTAGCCAGAAACGACGTGACTTTGAATCGACAGTATGCGACAGTCTTGGATTGAAATCATTGTCGGGTTGATTGTGAATGGCCTGCGAAGCTTGGTACAACGGCGAGAAACACGAGCTCGCCTGGTAGCTGTCACGCGCCGCGCGCTACGGTGTTTTTACCTTCAACGTTGTATTCAATTTTGGAATAAACTTTGCGGTGTGAGGTGGCCAGCTTAACAAGTAAGTAATGTTCAGAATCTGTAAAAATAAAAAGCTGTTTTACCTGTCGTGTGTGGTTTACTGGAAATAAAAAGGACGTGTGCTTCGGCACACGCAGTGCTAGAATTCATTAACATTTCCGCAGCTCTCAACTACGGCGTGACTCGATCATTTCAATGTTTTAATACTTCAAACCCCAGATATTTTTCATTAACTTTAACATTCGCGACGTCTGTCGTGACCAAAGGTCTGCCCGCCTAATTTACGTATCTTCAGTTACGGTCGCCCTTCAGTGCGACTAAAACGGCTAAAATTACTCTGCGACAGGCTAACTGCAGCCAGTTCGAGCGCGCATGTCATTTCTTGCCCCCTACAAGTCTGCTTCACTGCAAAGCTCAGGAATGCGGGAGGGGGGAGTAGTTCTCATGACCTACTACACTCCTGACCTGTTCAGATAGCGGGGTTCCTATGGGAGCGCGTGTCCCCGCTCTCGTTCAATCGCTCGCCGTAGGTGGCGCTACCTATAACCTGTTCGTCTGCTACTGTGCGGCCGGCAGGAGGGCGACGGACTGATACCATGCGTCTGCTTCTGTGACAAACTGCCTATACGTGCACGAAGGACTTCAATTATGTCATTATACCCGACCGCCTGCCAGCCCTATATAGAGTGAACAGTTAATCGCCACATTTCGTTACCGGCGTAACGTTTCTAATTACCTTAAGTAAGCTTATACAGAAACGAACAAAGCTGTATGGGAAGATAGAGGTTTGAGATGAGAAATACATTTGACCAAATTCGGTCGCTAACTTCAGTGACACCCAGTGTTCAAGAGTTGTCCATCGCTAAACACACACACACACACACACACACACACACACACACACACACACACACACACAGAGAGACAAACTGTGGAGGCAGCACGTAAATATTTCATATCATTAATTTTTTTATGGATTTCGGCGGCATTTGTTGAGGCAGCCTTCGGGAAGGGTGCTCGAACCCCTCGCAACCCACCGCTACGCATTTTTACATAATTTACAGATTTCGTATATTTACTTTTTTCTTGTGTGCTATATTTAAATTTCTTGGCACTATTTGTGGAGCCTGCCATATTAGCCGCGGTACTTTAAAAAAGCTTTCATGTTTTTTAGCTCAGTGAATTAGCATAACACACGGAAATAAAGTTTACTAAAGCACCCTGGTGCTTCTTGCTAGCTTGCAACTCGTTCTGAATTGAAACGACTCTCAAAAACACAAGACTCACCTTTTCTTCCAATTGCCTCGATCCATTCTTCCCGTATGTCTGTGGCAGGAAACTCGTGAAAACTTACTTTACTTTGTTTGCCTTGTTCCGATTTGCAATATGGCACGCAGCAATACACCATACTTACATTTGAGGTGTCAGCTCATCTAAAAAAAAAAACTGCACGCGGCCACTATTAGAGCTGACTACTGCAGCTATCTGCCGTCTGCAAGTTTCTGCACACGACCTACTGTGTTTCTGCGTATCTTCTGCAATTTGTGTATGCGTATCGTCTGGAACCATCGTGATTCAGTGTGAACAATGAATGCCTAACAATAGTTTTTTTATCTCGTTGGACTACGTTTTCATTCAAGAAATATTTTCATAATAAATTTTCCTTCATTTGTAGAAAAGTTCCCGTCTGCTTGCCACTGTGACCCTTTGTGTGCTTTTTTTACGGTTCTATTTCTGCTTCAAACGTCCACACGAATGCAGCCAACTCTGACGAGGAATCATATCGCTTTATTTGCCATATTTTACACATTCATACACAATTCATGCACAATAAGAACGATTTGCACTGCCACAGCGATGGCTGAAGCAGACGACAGCGAACAGGTGCTGCCTAGCGCCACGCCGCTCGTAGGTGACGGCCCTAGCGGCAGAAGGTATGAACTAGAACGTGGGCGCTGGAAGAGGTGCTCTCTGGGCAGGTCAGGAGTGTAGTAGGTCATGGTAGTTCTCAGCGGAACCGAAAGTAGTGCGAGACTGCGGCTGTACAGATGACATTTTCATTTTCATTACTGACTGTTTTGCTTCAAGGTTTTGGTTGTTTTTTTTTCCCTAAGCAACAGCTACGCTAAATTTGTACATTTAAAGTTGATGGTGCTTCGACTGTTCTACATGTGCACATTTGCTTTCATGGCACTGCCATTAACCGAAAGCTTTGCCAAAAATGAGTTTCCAAGCGTGGTTGTTGCCTGTGAGGTGGGGGCTCGCGCCGTTAGCGCTCACTTTAAGAGCTCGTACAGTTCACTTGTCATCAAAAATTAAGGTACGTCTGGTATTCCTTTAGTCATTTATAGTGTTGTGACCGAGCGATTGCCACGTAATTTGCACATATGAGCTCGACTTGATTCCTCCGATTTCGACGTTATGCTGGTTAGAGGTGCGATTTCCCTTTTGTGAGAGAGCCTTTAATTGAAGTCTCGATGGTGGTAAATATTCGGTCATCTTGGGATGCGTAACTGTTGCGACTTGGAGAGCGGGGACGTTGAGACTGTTGCAGCCAACTTATCTCGATGCAATCGCGGGCCTGTTCTTATCTCGTGGTTGGTATTGGTGGTTCATTTTGAAAGAACAGTTCGTTTCTCCTGGCAGTGTTTCCGTCGGCCGCCTGCCGCTAGACAAGGAACGGTGTCTGCTGTTGCACCACAGATTTTCCTTCTGTGCGGTTTTGCATTCGTCAAGATGTCCGAAGGTACGTGCTCGATTCATTAACGACGTGAAAACGGTCTCAAACTATGAAAAGCGCTTAACATCATTCAAATGCCTCCTTGCCTTGTTCACTAATCATGCAACGCATGCTACTGGTTATGATGGCTAAGACCTTCGTCAGCATCAGCGTTATTCTGTCAAGTGCACATTTCCTTGTCGGTGTACTGTGTTGTAATAAACGCTGGACGTGTAGTGGGTGTTTCGCGTTATTAGACGACGCACGGGGTTCTCAAGGTCGTGACGATTACTACTGAGTTAACCTCGCCTGTGTATTGCATCGTGTATTTGACCGCTGGAGTCTTCGCAAGATTTTACCTCTGGCGGGATTTTTTAAAATTAATTGTTTCCTCAATTGCGCCTTCTGAAGCGCAAGACTTCCTATTAATACGCATTTATTTTTAAGTGTGCACTTTTGTAATTGTGCTCAGCATGCAGCATTCACATTACCTCACAACATATAGTATGACTGTACTGCTACTGAAAACACATTTCATATTAGATCTTTAGATCATAGATAGTGGATATACTGGTTAAGCAAATCGAATGCAGTCATATGGGGGTAGTGAAATTGGCTCACAAACTAGAAATAGCGCAAGTAGTCCGGCTAAAATATGTAGTTTGGTTCACTCGTGTTCTTTGATCTAAAGATGTAATTTTGTAATTTTAAGTTGCTTTGATATCCGGTCATGGAAATGGCAGGAACAAATATCATCAGCTTAATTAGTAATGCTGATGACACCTTTTTATTGTTCCGAAGTAAGACGCACGGAAAGTGCTCATATTAAGATAAAAGAAAGGAAATGGCCAAACTCGATCTTAAATACAAAACAAATATTATGGCAAAAAGTGAACAGTTGATGCAGAGTAAAAATTAAATGTTTTTTTTTTGTTTGTATAGAATCCAGTGTAGACGATGATGGTAGCATTGCTTTGAAAATTCAGGATGGTATTAGAAAAGGTAGAAATCTATTGACTTTTAATGATTTGAGAAGACAGATGTTAACCTTAAATCTAAACTAAATCTGGTTAGCCCTCAGGCCTTCTCGTGGTAATGTATGGGTGCAAATTGTGGACCTTGTTTAAAAATAAAAGGAGCTTAATTCTGAGAGTTCTAGCGGCTGGCATAGAACGTCGGGGATTAACCACCCTGTCTCAAATGTTCCTTCATATGGAGTGACCTAAACTAAAGGTTTATTTTGATCTTGTTGTATGGGCTGTTGGTTCACTAGAGCGTAAATTAGTGTTAGCAAAATGGTAAGTTAATAGAAAATGGCATGGCTAGTGCAGCAGCTGATGGTAAATTGTTTTCAAGAAAAACGCATGAAGAACGGGGCTAAGCGAAAAATTAACAGCACAAGTGCAATTTTCTTCAAAATGCAATACCAATTTGCTCAACAGTTCATTCTTCCAAGCTGATGATAAGATGGAATTTTCTAGGAAGTCTAGAAGAGCTTAAAAAACTTTTGTTATGGGAAAATGTGAATCTTTATTTTTTTGTTGAAAATGTTATTTCTTGGCTTTTCGTCATGTTAAATGCACAATTTATCACCCATAATGTAGTTTGTCTATGCAGTTTCCTTCAAAAGATACAAGCGAACATGTTAGACCACCCATTATCTAAGAAATTGAAACTGAAAGAGCCAGTTTTGTGTGCTTCTTATGATTAAGTCGATATGTAGTAATTTCTTGGCTATTCAGCAATCATATCAAGTGTGAACATGGAATGATGCTCCAATAGCACTGTCAACCTATAAATTTTAATCTTCATTATAATAAACTATCACCAGGTGGATGCACAATGTCGTACCTGCTTGCACATGTGTTGTTTACGCTCAAAGACATATGTGAGCCTGTCAATCATCAAGTTTTCTTTGTAAGATGCTCTGTGTCATTTCAATAATGACCGCAAAGGCACGCTTGATGAATTGAAAAAAGTCTGCATTCAGCCTGCATTGGAAAAGCTTGTTTCACAAATGATTGGCCCCATATTGCGAAAGAATCCTGTCAAGGCACTGATGCTGCAAAGATAAACAAGGGTAAGGTCCATGGTCGAACTTGCTACAAATATGGAGGATTTTAGCACTCCTGATTACCCTGTGTTAGTGCTGCACATGTTTCAAATATTTTTAAAAATTTTGCTCGGAGCTTATATTTTTGCTGTTTTTCTGTGCTCAAACTAGCATATCATCTTTTTAATAGAGCTTTTTCATTATAACTTGACACACTCTTTTTATCACATTAGTGGGTGTGCAGTCGACTGCTATTAACTAAAATCATGCCACAATATTCAATGTGGCCGCCTGTTATGTGAAGGTACCCCTAGTGTTCGTGCATAATTTTTTAGTCATTAATTCACTATTTTTAATATTAATTTGATCTCATTTATTGTTTGGCCTATTGTACTGGCTGAAGCTCCTTGTATGTCTTTACAAATAATTGGGTTTTTTGATTGAGTGGAATTTGAGTTGGAAATGTTTGCGGAACACATACTTTTTTTGTAATCATGAAAAAAAAAAAAGAAACTTGCTTTATACTACTCACATGTGCTTAAAAAGGCTTGCTTTATAATACTGACTAACAATGTGTAATGCTTATGTTTTTTTAAGTTATTTTTCACTGTTGGTCATAAATATATAAATAAATAAATACATTTATGCCACTTGGAGTTTTCAGTACGTGATGGGGCATAATGTGATTGCCATATTTTGTTAAGCATTCACCTTATCCAGGTCAAATTTACTGCATTTTGAATTGCAAATAATAAATATAGATACATGCAAGAATAGTGGTAAAATATACAGATTTAGATGAGTTTTTCTGGTTGAGTCTAAAATGTTTTGTTTTAGAATGTTATGTTCAAAAAATTCTCTAAACTTGAAGTATGAATTTTTAAGTTTTAATAATGTGATTTTGTAGGTTTGTTTACTGAGGCTCTTTTGTCAGCTTCAAATATGATGCAAGATATAGCTCGCATGTTAGTTAAACTTTTTTTTCTGTAGAGCCACCAAACTTTGTTCATGATTAGTGTAGAATAACAGAGCTGAGCTTGTATTCATTCTATTAAGATGGGGCATGCAAACACTGACACAGAAAGGAAATTGAGATGCCATAAACATCATCTAACAACTGAAGATATGCTAAAAGGCAGAAAGGCCAGAAGGCGCGAAAACATCTGTGCACATGCTCATGCAATAGGCGAACCTATCAATCCGGCACGTGTGCCGGTCCACGTAGAAGGTCGGACATTTTATTTCATGTTTATCCAAGTTAATCGACGGTCGGCTCATGCATGCACTACCACTAGTATCAATATGCCATGCCTCAATTATGAGGCACATTCTGTGCCTCATGATTCATCCATCCCTTAGCTAGGATGGATGGGTCTTGGGCATAGTGCTGCTGGCGATCGCCACTTATAAAGTGGAGATGTCACGGAGGCTTTTCACCAGTCGCTAACTTTTTATCTATTGATTTATTTCTAAATACTGTTTACCATAACAGGGTGGGTACAGTAAATGTTAACACAAAACATAAACAAGTACAACATATTGTAATGAAGAGAGAACTAGAAAAATACATATTTATCCAGAAGAAAGAAAAATATTTAAAAAACGCTGTTTATAAAAACATACATACATATATTGTGATGGTGGTATAGTATGCAATATGAAGTAACTACACGATGTATTTTCGAACATGGCAATGTACGTACAATACTGTAGCGATATTTTTAGTGCACTCTTCAAAGCTTTCTACGGTCTTCGAATTGTACCAACTGGCCCTTCAAGATAACCTTCTACAAAAAAAAAAAAACAACTCTTCTTTTTGAACAGCATGCAAGCAAAGTTACATTTTTGACATTTAGAGATAGTTCAAATTTTGTTGTGAAGATAAAATTGCTGAGAAGTTAGAGAGATTGAAAACATTCTGTTGCAAGTTCAGCAGGCAGGATGTATGGGTCTGGGGCATAATGCTGCTGTTGAAAAGCCATTCTTAAAGGCAGGGCTATTAGCTTGCAGGGCACGAATGTTTGCCATCTTTCAATTTTTAATGCAACACACTCTCTGGCAGCTGCGTCTATGTGCTTTCATCTCTATAGTAGTCTATCAGCATAACTTATCTGTTGCAATCGTTGCAACGCAATATATATTGAACGGTACATTGTTCGAAGCACGTGGTCTTAGCTTATCAAAGTAGAAGTGTGACGCTCATACGGCAGATAAGTGCTTTGCGTGGAAACAACATACTAACAATGTTCTGTGCAACAGTAGAAAATTGATGTACGATTAAATAACAAGAAGACCTATTTCCGGCCTTGCATTGTAGTGGACAGCAGATAGTTCAAATCTAGGTAGCGAGGACAGGCAGTTTGGCACGCACTTGTGTGGTCCGTAAACTTTTGTGGTTGACTGTACATGTTACATTGATGAAAAACAGCACTAAATAGTGGGACTTGGGGGATAGAAGCCCATGACGTAACTGCTGTTGTATGCACCTCAAGCGGTGTCTTGTTTTAGTGCTGTTCTTCATCAGTGTAAGTTGTTTCTTATTTCTATTACACTTTCTCTGGATTATCCAGCATCATCAGTTCTCCATATTGTGCAAAAAAAAGCTGCTGCATGTTAGTGGTGTCAAACCCGAAGGAACAGCAGAACTGGGTGGCCTTTCTCATTTTTTATTTTCATCTTTTGCTTTCAATTTTTCTGTCTATATTTCTCTCTTTTTTACCCTTTCTGTCTTGCTCGTTCTCTTTTTTCGCTTGCTTCTCTATCTTTCTCTTTGTCTTTCTTTCTATCTCTTTTTTTCTCTAATTCTCTCGCCCATTCGACTTATTGCATCCCACGCCGCATCTATAAACCCAGCAAAAGAGCGCACTTGTTTAGGGGGCAATGCGGAAAAGAAAGGCAGCCCGTGCTAGCCAAGTTAATGTGTACTCACCCTAGGTGCAGCTGAGCCAGGTGGTTGCTAGGCAATGTGCAGTGA